TTTCAGTTGTGTAAAGAAAATTCACAAACATTTTTACAGTTTAACTATTTTTTGTTGTCTAAACAATAAACTTATTCAATCTTCAAAACCTTTTTGTCCTTTAGATTTATTTATGTAAAGATTTTAGACTTTTTTTCAAGCTTTACTTGTTGCAAAAGTAAATATTTCAACATTACTTTATAAAGTTTTTCTCATTCTTTCAAACGTATTTCTAGTTATGTTTTCTGTTTTCTGACTAAATGTTTGTTTTTAATCCTGTTATTTATTCCTTGCGTTCGTTCTGTTCATCGCTGAGACGTTTTATTTTTCCTGGTCCTGATGTGAGGCTCTGAATAAAATTTAAAAAGAACAATAAAACACTAGAAAATAATACAAATTAAAATGCTTTCATTTAAATTACTCAACTGAACTCTTTGTTTGACACTTTTGGTTTTTGAAATCCTTTTTAGTCCAGAAACTTAAACATAAAACATAAACATAAAACACACGACTGAGTGAGAATTTAAAGTCAACAAACAGAAGCTGAAAAAAGTTGCCTTCAGGGCTTTCTGTCAGACAACCTGCTGTTTTTAAAAATAACAAGAGATTCTGTCCAAAAAACCACTCAGACGCTCACTTTAGACGGAGTATTTTGAATTATTGCAACAATAACGTGAGCCGTCTGCTAAAGTTTGGCTCACTTTAAGCCAGAAAGTGAGGAAAAGAAGAAAACATTAAAGAGAAAATGGATAATAAATGTAAAACTAATGACTGTATTACATTTTATTCTTGTTCAACCAGAACAAAGGTTCAACTAAAACAAACAAATCTAATTTATGTGTAATAATTCAGTCAATAACACAAACAAAATCAATAATATTTTAACATCCAGCATCAGAAAATGAGTCAAATTCTAAGAGTTGATGATTTAAACTCCTGCAGCACGCTCTGAAAATTAAGGATCTTTTTTTAAACCCTTTAATCCCCGGTTCATCTGCAGTTTTACAAAGCGTTCATAATCTCTGCTTAATTTCCTGACGCTGGATTAGGACGATGTCGTCGATAGATGGAGCCCTGACAGCGTTGGCGCTTTGCTTGGTGGTAAATCAGGAAATGTTTTCGGAGCAGACTCTTGTTATCTGTTGTAAAGTTTTTACAGGCTCGCGCAGCCACTTTACAGCAGACAGCTGCCATCAGTATCTGCCGCTCGATAGTCGGTTGAGACGGAGGAAAGTCCAGTTCAACACAGGTCATCGTCGGCTCAGATTATCTCCTGGTAATCTGTGGGATTTTACAGGCCACCGCAGGGAAAAAAACTCTAAAAATGCCGATCGCAGTAAAACGATTCTTATTTAGAGGATGATTTTCTTTTCTTTGGCGTTGTGAGTTAATTACACGCCTCCGTCGGGGTTTTAAACACTTCAGCCTCGACACCTGGTCACACAGAAACTTTGAGTGGAGGTGGGAATGTTAATCTGCCGTACCTGTGGGTCCTGCGCCGGCGGGCTGACGGTCCGTCTCGATGTTTCGCTCGTGTCTTTGGGGCGCCGCTCTCGGCTCGTCTGCTCTCCACTTTTATTCCCGTTGTTGCTACAAGTCGCTGTTTCTTCCTTCCTCGAGTCTCCAAGTCAAGATGTTCCTCGCTCTCCTCTTCCTCTTTTATCCCTCGCTTCACCTCTGATTTACGGGGTTCAAATAATTTCCCTCCTTTCTGCTGATTTAGGTATTCAACCTCCGACTCGGTCCAGCACTTTTTCTCTTTTTATCCTGGTTTCTCCTTTATCTCTGCTCCAGAAGGATTACCTTGGCACTCGTTTGTGCGTTTGATAATGAAGACATACTGGGAGGCTTGTACTGGAGGCGGGACCACGGCTGCAGAGATTTAGGGGATGGGAAAGGTCAAATTCTGCGCAGCCTGGACACATAAATGTGAACCAGACCCTGCTGCTAATAGAAGATGTTATCGTAATGTGATCGAGCTTCTGTTTCTGAGGCCAATATCTCCCACTTAGTCAAATAATCCCTAACTTTACAAGCCCTAATCTGAGGGCTGGGATGTGTAAAATAAAATAAAATAAACTGGACTCTCCTGCTACAAAACGGTTCAGTAACAAACACAGTTTGGTTGTGAAATATGCAAGGCCTTCTCTGAAAAAAAAAAAATGTCTGCGCTGGAGCCTCAGCAGATATGTAAGCTGCCCACGCCAAGCCACTAATGCACCTCCATACCATCAGAGAAGCAGCTTTTCAACTGATAAGACTCTGTCTGTTTTTTTTAAAACTCCAGATGTTTTTAGCTTTGACTCGATCAGTTTTAAATAAACTTTAAGCCCAGACAAGATGACAGCCTAACTGGATTATCTTCATACAGAACTTCTTCTTTGCATGATAGAGCTTTAATGAAAAAAAAAACATTTTATTTAAACATTTTTGATTTATCAAATAAAGCCTTCAGGTTGGCTTTTGATTAAGACAGAGTTAGAGGTTCGGTTAGAGCTTTTTTGTATATTATATTGTGTTTCTGTATCGCATTTGTAGCTATTATCTTTTTTTATAAAAGTCTCGACTGAACTGTGAAACATTTTGGTCAGATTTTGTTGTTTTAATGTATTATACAAATAAGGAAATATCACCAAACCTCGCAGAGTTTCAAGTTTAAATTATTCACTAATTTAAACTTGTTTTACACTTTGAAAAGAAAATATTTATTTTATTTTAGAATATGATAACAGATTAAAACAAAGAAAAATAGAATTTCTGTTTTTATCTTGAAACAGTTTGATTGTCTCTGAGAGGTTTTCACTGAAAAACCAAAAAGTTCTTCAAGAAGGTTTAATTTATTCTGAGATTACAAATGTAAGCAAATGAGCTTCCTCCTTTAATATTTTAGAAACGACAGTTTATTTATAAAACGAGCAGGGAGTGAACAGGTACAAACCCATTTAAAAACTTGATTTTAGCTAAAAAAAAAAAAAATCACAGACGAGCTCCGTAAAGTTGCTGACTTCAGCGACGTCTCCAGATCCGTCCAAAGGCCGAAGGAACCAGATGTCAAACAGTAAATCAAAGATCAGAAAACCACAAAAATAAACTGGTGCAGAGAATATGTTTCCAACAAAGGCTGGTAGAGTGCTCAGAAAAAACAGATCAGGATTACACGGAGGCTTTAAATCAGGCTTACTGTGCGTTTTATGATCGCGCTGAGCTTTACGAGCAGCTGTAAAGAAAGTTCGCTGAATCCAAAGAAAACCATCAAAACAGAAGTGAAGTCGGATCCAATAAGAACTTTGTGCACAAAGTGAACCGATAAACACAACCTGTGATAAATGTTCAGGTAAATACAGACCGACATAAACAACATACGAATAATCCTGAATAATCCCAAATAATCCCAGAACCTCAGGTTTTAGAGTCGGGTTTAATCAACAAACACTTCTTCTGATAATACCTCAATATTTTTTTTTCTGATTTCATCTTATAATTATTGAACAAATAAATGAATTTGTGAGCACTTTATTGTGAAAATCTGGTGTCAAATTAAATTTGATCAATTTTAAATCTACTTTTGTGGCTTTTTTCCCTCAATATTTAATGTTATTCTGTCAGTTTAGAATTATGACCCCCGCACGCGAAGTGTAAGCGGGAGTCATGTTGTTTTCGTACTGTTTTTATATTTTATTTTCTCTGGAGATTTTTGGTCAACCGTAGCACAACTGCTAATCAGAGATCTGAGAAAGGCGTATCTGGACATACAAAAAGGGTTATAGCTCAAAAACTATTAAGATAGGAGCTTCAGATTTTCTTTGGTTGTTCAGCTCTGATGAGGGGCTATCCATCAGCTCAAGTCAACCA